CCGAAAAAAGAAGAAATGTGAGTGAGTTTCAATTTAAAAAATATTTTTTTTTATTATATTTCTTTGCTCCAATCTTTAATTTTATCATTTCCCGATTCAGTAACCAATTTTATATAGAAATACATGATTTTTAGACAAAATTTAAAGCTAATATAATAAAGATATGCAATACAAAAAAAATTAGAAAAAGAGGTAACAAATTATGATTATTGCTAAAGAAAATCAATTTCCAAATTAACTGTCATAAAAAAACTCGATTATGAAATGTTCATAAATAATGGTTAATAATTTTCACTAATAAAAAAAGCGATCTTAAATACAAGAATTTACACAAAATATATTGAAAGAGAATTTTACTCTTTGTAGATAATAGAAGATGGAATCAATAGCAGAAAGAATATCAAAAGTAAGGGAATTGACTGGGATCTTGTTACAGAATATGATCGCAAAATAGAGGATAAATTAATAAAACAATTATCGATACAGTTTCCATCGCACAAGTAAGTTATTATTTTCTAAATTCTTTAAAGTGATATCTCTAAAAAGTGAAAATTGAGCCAGCTTGAAAAGAAATCTTAAGAGTGATATTTCACTTTTTTTTAGAGTGATAATTCACTCTAAACGTTTTAGAGAGTGTGATTAATGGTCAACTACTAACAACAAGTCAGAAATGAGGTGGCTGTAACGAGATTTAATCTTTCAGATTTATTGGAGAAGAAACAGCAGCAAAAGAAGGCTGTCTACCTCAACTAACCAATGACCCTACGTGGATAATAGATCCGATAGACGGTACTACCAACTTTGTACACCGTTTTCCACATACATGCATCTCCTTAGCGTTACTAATAAACAAAAAGGTGGAAATCGGGATAATATACAATCCTCTTATGGGACAATTCTTTTCGGCAAGGAGACACTGCGGTGCTTTCCTTAATGGAAAGCCCATAAAAACTTCTGACATGAGAGGTAAATAATTCTACACTTAAAATATGTTCATATTCGAAACACGCACACAATAGCATGATTCATGAAGCATGTAATACCATAGACACACATCAATCTAATTTATTACACGTGTTACTATATCATGGTGGCCTTGCTAAAAATGAGTGTAAGAAATTCATTATTTTACGGTCCAGTGGAAGGTTATCCAATATCCATTAAAATCGCAGACTGAGCAATTTTAATAGACATCAGAGTTAATGTTGTGTCCTTCATAAAGCAATTACTTTAAAACGTGGTGATATAGCTACAATCTGTCTTCGCTTTATCCATCCAAATAATTACTTCACTTTCACACGTAAGAAATACTTAAATATATATATATAATTATATATAATACGTCTATTCTTTCCAGACATATCTCAATCATTAGTGGCTATGGAACCATGGCTCGCAAAGGATCCTCAGTATTTAGTTAGTGTATATAGTAGAATGCACGCTTTAGTACAAGGAACTCATGGGTAATATATTTTTTGAAGATATTTTAAAATATTCTTTAAGATATTTTAAATGTGTAATAATGTATATATCAATTAGTTGAAAAACTATTAATAATAAATTGCTTCTCTTTCAGAATAAGGTCACTAGGTACAGCAGCGCTCACGTTGTGCTACGTAGCAATGGGAGCTGTGGAGGCATATCATATTGAAGGTATCGATGCTTGGGATGTTGCAGCAGGGAAATTAATAATCGAAGAAGCAGGTGGAGTTGTGATAGACACTGATGGTAAATATGACTCTTTTGTTATTAACACTTAGTCTCACGTTATTGCAAATTTATTTTTCCATTTAGTCCAGTTTCGAAACTCTCAAAATCTTATTTTATTATATAAAAAAAATTTTGTTGATATAAAAAATTATCATTTACAGGGGGAGAACTAGATCTAATGACTCCGAAGGTTATAGCGGCATGCAATCAGCAAATTGCACAACAGCTTGTAGATCTTATTAAGAAAGCCGATTGCGAGATACTTAATAAAAATTTAAATTAATTATGCTGATATTATATGCAGTGCTCATTAAATGTCATATTATATAACAATGCATATGTATGCAGACTTAAAAAACACAGTATTACTAAATGTGACTTAAGGCTGCATTAGATTTACAAAAGATTGTAAAATTTACAAAGATTTTTAGGACTGATATAGCTCATACTTTTCTCTGCACTGATAGTCTGCACTGTATATTTCAATAATTTTATTAAAATTAATAACTGTTCACAATATTAATAATAAATAAATATTGTATTTGTAAATCGACTTTCAATTTTTAATGCAATCAATGCCATAATAAAAAGATTTCTCTCCTATCCCATAATCTGTACCCATGCATACAACTATTACAAATAATAATTGAAAATTCAGTCACTCACAACACTAAATTAATGTACATTAAAAAAAAATTGCTTTATATGAAATATCTAAATATAGTGGCAAAATATAATAAATTTTGATAATGAAATAATACATATACATTCTAAATAATGTGTCAAAAATATTGAACATTTAAATATTTATACTTCCATTGATTACATAGAATTTTGCATCTTTCGTCAATAGACTTTGATCTTTGAACTTCAGTATAGATTTTTATATTATTCCAGACTGTATAAAAATCTAAAAACAATTCTTGCATACTTGAAAATTTCAACAATGAGCTTTTATTATAAAAGTTCGATTGTATTATTTTTTTACTTATTTAAATTTCTCTAGGTTACACAATTGAAATATCGATGATATCATCGAAGTCCTGACCAATAAAGAATTAAGATATTTATATGCTTTTATATTTAACTTTTCTAATTTCGTGCATAATAGCTATTAACATGTATTAATTTAATGTAATGCAAGTCATTAAATTCTGCTATAAAGTCCGATTTTGCATTTTCTGATTAACTTGCGCTTAATCTGTTTATCCAATGAGTTTCATCTATGATGATATCATGATTGAAGCTCACGATAAAATATGAAGTAAAATTTAATCACAAGTTAACCGAATAATGAAAAATTGGGCTTAAGGAAAGAGCATAGATATAGTTATCATTACATATAGTAATCATACCTGTGGACCCATATTAGGTGGCATTTGCTGTGGATGGGGTGGATAACTTTGTTGTTGGGGTGGCGGTTGTTGTGGTGGTTGCGACATGGGTGGTCCACCTGGCGGTATGGGTGGGCCACCTTGATAACCCTGTGTCGGACTATGAGGATGATGTTGTGGCGGTCCCATTGGACTACCTTGTGCATTAGATGGGGATGGTGCCTGTTGTGGAGGTCCCATGGGACTGGGTGCTTGTGGTGGAGGCATAGGCGAAGATTGTGGCGAAGGACTCGCCATATTATTATGTTCAAAAGGTTCCAGTTTATCTGAGGCTTACTTCCTGAAAATATTAAAATGCAAATGTAAGAACCAGTTCTAAATTCTTTCATGACTACCTATTTCAAAAATTTCTATTATCTCTTCTACTTCAAAGAATTTAGAGAGAGATTAGATTAGTGCATAATAAAATAGCTGCTATATACACACACACACACATACACACACATGCACTAAATTAGCAAAGTTAAATGTAAATGCATATACATATTGTAAACAATTAAATATCCAAAAATGATTGTTACATTATTTAACAAATATTATTTCATTGTCAAAGTTGATTATATTATGCCACTGCATTTAGATACATAAAGCAGCCTTTAATACACTAATCCATTCCATTGTAGCGCAAGTCACCATTAATTAAGTGCGCAAAGTGCAACTATACAATTCAAATATTTCAAATAGATGCACTTAAATGAGATAATCTCTCATTTAAAAAATACCAACTCAAGAGAGTTCAAGAGAGTTTTTGTATCCGAGAGAGTCTACAACAGAACATATTAATCTTTCCCTCTATCTATCTCTTTCTCATCTCTCGATGCCGAAGGCGGAACTGTATTAAACTCGAAAAGAGCAAGCAGGATAACGCAACGCGCTCGAGAACACTGTGCCGATTGCTCGTCCAACTCATCTCATGACAAAATACGGTTTCGTAATTAGAATTGAAGCCAGAAGGTAAATCGGAGCTGACGAAGCGCGGTGTTCTCTACGGTGCGCGCATCCCGTTGCCAACGGTGCCGCCCATCTCAGGGCTCTACGTACCGTTCCGGGCTCCACGTTATCACAACGGACACCCTGGAATCATTTCCGCGTATGTCACTGCACGCGTGCACTTTTTATCAGAGATACGAGAACACACAAAATCTACGCTGTGCCGAACGACTCCGAGAAACGCACGCTGTCGGCCATATTTCCACTCTCTCGCCGAGTCGCCGTAGCGGCAGCGTTGAGTTCCCCCAGCCAATCGCCGAACATGGCGATCGCAACGCTTCCGCAGCGCACCGCAGCGAGTCGAGAAGTGCGAAGTTCGCACGAACAAACGCAAATGACGCGAACCAAGTATTAATGGAAAATGGAATATTCCTCAATAAAAATATCCGTCGCGATACATGTATATTTTCGCATAGATTTCGAGCGAAACAGCATTGATCAAATAACCGACAAATTAATTTTCTTTACGAATATAAAAAATAAGTCGATAAGTCGACTGACAGTTAAATTCAATATATAATTCCGGGAAAAAATAATTCATATAATAATTATATTTAATTATACAAAATTAAATAAAATTATATATATGTAAAATTATAACAATTTGTATACAATTATATATAATTAAATATATCTCCAATATATGTGTTTCCCTGGGATCATAATATTCGTAATAAAAGTGCAGCTATTGAAACACGGCATGGCTTATCGAGCTGTGCTGTAGACAATACGTATATTTGTGCATCCTCAAAACATTCCAACGAAAAATAATTCACCTAATCGATATTGATTTGACACTGAATTGATAATTTCACATCAATTCGACATCAAATTGACGGTCATTTCTTGTTGAGATCCGTTCAAATTGAAGTCCAAGATGGAGTAGAAAGTGTAGAAACTACAAAGGTTTTAGAACGCACTCCAGAACAACAAAATGGCTCTAACCAGAGAGTCTGGTAGGCTGTCAATTCAACTGTTGAAAAATAAAGCGTGTTTGTACACTGCAGTGAGATGTTCTTCTGACAAACGTAAGTAACTATGCATGTCCTTTGCAATTTGTTTTTCATCATATTTTATATAAATAAAGCTACTACTCCACTAAATACTGTAACGAGGTTAGGATTGCTATTATTATATAATTAAATCATTATTATTAATTATTATTATTATTTATTATTATTAAATTATTGTTTCATATTCAGTGAAATATACAGTGGAATCTAGCATACAGATGCGTTGAAAAAATATATAAAAACATGTTGAATAATTGAAAGATTTGTTTTGTAACAATTATTATATAGCAAGGATGAAACTAATCGATGCTGTATTTGTCATCAGCGCTTCCATGGAACTACCTCTGGCAGCCAAAAAAATATTCAGAAAAGGAACATGACAAGATTGCCGAGAAATATAATTTGCATCCTAAGGAATATGAACCTAATCCTCCTGAGAAATACCTTGGCGACTATCCGAAACTACCCATGATAGGACCGGCTGCTAAAGACCCATACTATCCGTATGACATACCGATATTTAGGAAAAATTATCATGAAACAGTGAGTTGCATGTATAAAAGATTTCTGAAATTTATTTATCATGTTCTTTTATATATATATATCTTGTTTCCTCCTTTTAGCTACACGCTAATTTTGAAATTATGGGTGAAGATCGTTTTAGTTATGGCTATAATTATAGAATTAATCCATATGTGGGATCTGCAATATGGCTTTCAGTTATGATTTTTTTGGTTGGAATCACTTACTTGGCAAACCCTTATTCGACTATTCAAATAAGGGTCAGTACTCCAAATAGCATTTTTTATATATATCAATGGCTACATTCAGCAGAGAAAACTAATCAGTGATTGGTTTAATTAGATATTTTAATACTCTAGCAATATAATTGTTTCAGATGGAGAGACAGTTTCCCAAGGAGGATGTAGTACACTATTCATTTGAACCAGCAGATTCGTGAAAATAAGACGAGTAGCCTCGAGTAAATATAATATATATATAAAACAGCAGTCTAGTATAATGTATAAATACATATGAGTCGTAATATATACATATATATGTATACATAGTATTTATATTACAACACATATGTCTTTGTTGTGTTATAATATTTCTGCAATATTTTTCGTCACTTGTTGTAACTTTAGTTTTTCTCTCTTTCTCTCTCGTCTTTCTCTATTTGCAATAGAATCTTTAAACTGTATTTTATGAAAAAGTAATAAATTGCTAATTGATACCTTATCATGATTAAATAATTCGTTGCCTATATATACAACTCTTAATCCTAATTTCATAATACTTAATAAAATATAAAGAACTGCTGATATTTTCTAATTTCTAATAAAACATATGCAATTAAAAATTGCAGTTTAAAATTTAATTGATGAAATGATATTTAAAAGATTTAAAAATTTTTTAAATTCAGTTTCTTGAATTAAGAGAATACTTTAAAATGAAATATCCTATTATTATTAAGCTATTATTTTTCATAAATGTACATATTACATAAATAGGCATCACACATGTACACAATTATAAATCTTTGTTCTCCAGTACACTAATTTTTCTTTGTTTGTTTTTATTGAGATAAGCAAGAACGCACTTAGTTACAAAACTGCAAAAGTACCATCGACTAACACATTTTTATTTCATTTCTTCGTACATTCATTACAAAGAAAGCAATAACATTTGATCCAAAACTCTTTACGCACACAAATCGTCCGTAATACAAAGGAAAGAGGAAAAATATATATCTGCGCAAGATATACAAGTTTCGCGAAGTGACATTAATTGCGTCGACATGGAAAGATCGTCCGAATACAAATTGTATCCTTCGTACCCGTGACGTACACGGTGTATGGACCGTACTAAAAAATACAGATAGAAAAATATGACGATAGGCTACGGAATAAAGTTATACATATGATGAAAACGCGTGTGAGCATGATGTATATTTCATCCGTGTGTCTCTGTTGAAACTTGCCACGGTTATATCGTTACAGTCAAGAGGGACGTCGTGGTGACACTTAGTAATTATCACGTACTTATTTGATATGCTTAATCAATTGTTCGATCCCGTTTTTTTTCTCAACAATTGTATATACCTCGTTATAGTGCAGTTTCATAAATTCTTACGAATGATACATATATATTCCGTAAAATATTGAATGGTGCTCCGTTGTCACATATTCGCCTTCCTCTCGACACGTTTAAACGGTCTAAAAAGTACGCCCTGTATGCTTCTGAGAGATATACGAAATATTGAATATACGCGTTATCACGAGTATACAAAGATTCAACGCCGTCAATTGGAGAAAGCGATCGAGGAGAACGTGTCTCGATCGGATCCCTTCTTGCATCGCGGTATATGATGTACATTTTAATAAATTCCAAGAGTTGCAATCCCATTGTCGTCTGGTGCAAAGTAGCTGTATTCATATGACACCGAGCCCGAAGGGAGTTACCTGTTAAATGCAGCGAGATATTGCTTATATTCAAAATGTGAGCGCTTGAAACATCGATTTTATTATACCGCTATACTTTCTCTTTCGTTTCTCTTTTTACGTTCCGACTGAATTGCTAATTTCTTTATTGACTATTGTTCCACGGAGACGTCCGGATACTGGACGCAAACTTAGATCTGTATCCTCCACGTTGGATTATATGCGCACCTTGAAAAGCCACTTCTTTCAGATTATAATTAACTTTATACTTTTAATTAAAAACTTCTCAACGCAGTTAACAATCGTGATTATTTGAAATGCACGTAATTTGTTTCCTCTGTACTCTGCGTGTATGTCTGTTTACAAGATGTTTTAAAAATAAGCGGCAAAATTTTAGAAGCATATTCTATTTATAGTAAGAACGAGAAAAAGGTCATATACATATATATATATATATATATATATATATATATATGCGAGTTGGAAAACATTTTTTTATAAAACTATATAAGTTTTAATATTTTTTTCTAAATTCTTCTTCACTGTCATTTTAGGTTTCCCTGATATTGATGATCTTTAAAAAAAATTGTCCCGATTGCCTCATCAAAGGGCTAGATTTAAGGACCCTTTTTTTATTTTAAATTTCTCTGTTCACAGCAACATCCTGGGAAATAATAATCAGAATGATTTCCTGTTGCCTTCTATGCTTTCCAAATTATTAATAACTTTATTAATAAATTATAAATACTATTTGTTTACGGCAAAAATTGGCAAAAATACTTTGTCAAAGATTGCTTAGAAACATCTTTCTTTCGCAATAATATATATCATGTACTAATATGTATCATGTACTATCATTCAAAATATTAAAAAATTTTAAATTTTACCACACAAAGCGCGATATAATTTTTGAGAATTTCCACTGCAGAGAGAGTAACTAGAGCACTCGAGTTTTAAAATGTTCTTATAAATAAAAATCCAAAGAGTTTAAACTGGGATAACGTGCAAATCATGCAATGATCCCCATTTACCAATCCGATTGGTATATAATTATCAAAAAATTCTGTTATAAATAAAAAACATAACTTGAACAGGAAGCGTTTCTTAATTCTTAATGTTTATATGATTTTTATTCTTTTTTTATTCTTCTGATAAGCTAAAATACGCTAAAGGCAATTTATTTCTAAAACATCCTGTATAAATATATATGTATAAATAACAAAAAAATTTATGTTACGATCGTTATCGTGTTTACGATTACACGGTATAAGCAATTGAATCAATTTCTGGACCATTGAAGTTGTATTATTATAGACAGTATTTTAATACACACACCTTATACTCACTTTCTTCTTCTTTCTCTAATAATTACCGTCCTATAAGTAGCGTTTTACGGATATGTCATCTTTATCGCTGCGTAATAAATACGAAACGTAAATCATTGAAAAGCGTCAATACGTACTTCTATGTATGCGTGATATTTCCTAAATATTTACCGTGAGATCTACGCGAGTGCAAAGTTACATACAATCTTTCGAAGGACTTGGTAAAACACATCGATAGTGATTAGTATTACTTATTTCGGTATTTGCTACGGACGAAGACCGGCCCAAAACGACGCGGGACATCGCGAGTACGGATTCCGCGTTCTTTGCCCGCGACGGTTTGCGCGGGTTCCTCGTTTTATCACCTTCCACTTTGACGATACACGCAGAAAAACGTTAATCCATTTGTTCGGCGAGAGTTATTTGATTCGATTCCATCAGAATTTCGAGCCGTGCGCAAAATACGCGCCCGGTCGAAAAGAAAAAGGGAAGCCCAACACGCAACGGGAGGGAGGGCCAAACAATTCCGACGCAAGCCCGTTTTCCGACGTGGAAAAATCTTTTTTTTTTCTTTAGAACTTTAAACGCTGAAATGTACGTTGAAATATTGACAACGCGATTCGTTTCGTATTGTTAGACTAGATTAACAACACATACATATATATATATACACAATGCAATAAATATTGTACGATTGAATCCTCGAGAGTTTATAAATAAACCTCGCCTTAGAGTCCAAGTATATGCAATAAATTACACGTATTCGTAACTTTAAAGTTAACAGCGATTGCTCTTTAGAGTCCATTTCCATTACAGACTGTTCCCCCGAAGCTAAAAACATTAGCAAACGATAGAAAAAGAAAATACAGCCATGTTACTCGCCTATTCTAATTTATAGTCGTGTATCGAGTGCGAGAAGAAAGCAATTGCAGTAATTGTTTCTCCATTCTTCTTGGCAATTCAATTTCCTATTCGCAAAGCAGCTTAATTGGTCTATCTAAATCGATAAATCGAATCTAATTTCTTCGTTGCACATTTAATGGATTATCTCACTCATATTTTGGTAATACAGTACTTAAAATTATATATTTACTTTTATATATATATATATATATATGAATGTATAACAAAATTTTCGCGCGATTGTAAAAATTATGATACACACACAGTTCCGATACGTACAATAATCTTAAAAAGGCCTTTCGACTATCGCCAGAATTTCCAAAAATATCGTACAAAATATATAAACATCAATTGTATATCAACACCGGAAGGTAAAGATGTCATTAAAAGCCTATATGTAAAAATATAGCTGCCTCAAGAAAATAATCTGACAAAGATAAAAAGAAAGTAGATAAAATACAAGTTGATTGCATGCCTCGCTTGCCATTTAATTCGTAACTGAATAAGGATAATATACAAAAAATCATGCGTGTGCGCTACTTGCGAACCTAACGTGACATCACAATGATTCTCGATCAACTTAGATTACCTATAATAAACTAGTTCAACACAATGAACTGTACATTTACAATTATCGATATAATGGTAAATACTCGCGCGGAAATTCAATTATGTGTATAATTAAATTATTTACAGCGTTAATAGATCTTTATTTACTTCTTACCTCGAGTAAATCATTTAACTTTAGCTAGAGTGGATAAAATCATAAGACGTACACTCGCATTCACTCGCGCACGATGTGAACTAAACATTTATGATTTATGTGTAGTAAGTTAATATAATATTAATATATATTATATACTATCGCTGCTACATACGTATTACATATCATGCGTGTAGCTAATTATTTCTCCGAAAAATTCTACAATCATTTTACGTTGCCAATAAGAGACGTAAATAAACAAAATTTTATATACAATTTCGCTTACACTGCATATTAGCCAATTTTATCACATTAATTTTTAATCAGGAATTTTCCTTTCTCATACGCAGTTGTCATAAATATCAAATAAATGTAATCAATTGTTGGAACTAAAGAGATTAAATTTTATCTTTTATCTAAGTTGTGAATAGAAGTCTGCTTTGTAGAATTCAATCTATTGATACTAACTCTTTACATATATATATATATATATATATATGGCAGCTTTAGAACTACTTTTTAAAATTTCGCGTATTTATCCTGGCAATTAATTTGTCTGGATTGTTATTACCCGTACTAGAACATCAATTGTTAACTAAATGTTTAGG